CACTGAGCTTCTGGTTTTCACAGGGCCCAGTTAGACCCAGGTAAGGGGAAACTGGCCCCTACCCTACGAGAGGCCCGTGGGTATGCAAATGCCTCTGCAAACCACTGAGGTGGGCGGATTGACTTTTCCAACTCTCTCAACATCTCCAGCTGCAGATGGCAACTCTGAGGTGTTCGGGTACACATTTTGATTCTAAATGTTTTTGGGGATGGATGGCACAACAACAGCATATATATTCCTTTGGGGAAGTGTTTGGGGGACTGCTAGGAGATGGGTAATTACCAGAATAATACTACTACCAGGGAGAGGATTCACCCTCAGGAAATGCAGAGGACTACAGCTGTGCCTTCCTTAAAGGCCCTCACAAGAAGGTAAGTCCTGAGGACATTCTGGTGCAGTGATGCTGACCAGAAGGCTGTTGTACATTAAGAATTGAGTGATCTACCATCCAGTTAATCTGGAAAGGCATAGGCCTTCCTGTGCCTGCATGTGCTGCATAAATCCCTGAACAACAGGAAGAACTCAGCCAGCTCATTGGGGAACTGATGGAGGAGAGGTGGTTATTGTGGGCATGCAAGAATCACTGCTTGGAAAATGCTGGGCTTTGGGTTCTGGTCTGGTGGTATATTAATGGTGTTTTGCATATTCCTCTATTTGTATTATTGTTATTGTTTTCCCCTTTCTGTTCGGTTCTGTTAAACTGCCTTTACCTCAACCCACAAGTTTTGTCCTTTTCTTCCGCTTCTTCCCCATTCCCCCTGCTGGAGGAGAGTAAGCAAAAGACTACGTGGTTCTTTGTTACCATCTGGAGCTAAACCATAATAGTCCTTTTTGGCACCCAACAAGGGGCATGAAGGGTTGAGATAATGACAGATCTGACCAGAGCATGTTAAAACGAATTTGTTATATGCATTTATTTTAATCATTAAATAGTCACTGCACAATGTTGCTTTGTTTGCTCGTATGAAAATTCTAATGTCACTGTGTTATGAATATTCTGATATCCTGTATGTACACCCCATGATGGTGTCCATCTCCTCTGGGAGAGGGATCAAGATTATAATTTTGCTGTCCTGTGTACTGTCAGTTTATGATATGATAACATCACTCTTCAGGCAGTTATGTTGATGTGTTTATGTGGCATTGATGTCCTGCTTGTACCTTGAGTACCATCTCTTGGAATTTATTAATAATTGCACCCAATCTATGGGAAAAGAAAAGGGGAGATACTTTCCCCAGCTTTTCCACCTCCTTTTTTTCATTTGGGCAGGGTACAACAGCTTTTGAGATTTTTTAATATCCTTGGGATGGTCAAACCAGCATGGTTCTATTGCTATGTATCCTGAATGTGTTTCAGGTCATGTTTAGGATTAAACAACTGTTTAAGAATACCACTCAGAGATTTGCCCCGAGGCTGGATACTCATGGGTAGCATGGCAAGTGGGAGAATATGGGTGGGTATTTAGAGAACTTCTCACCTCCAACGATTTGGAACTTCATCCCTGAACAGCTACAGGACCCTGATAAAGTGATAGAATACTTGAAGGGAAAATGCTGTGGCTGTTCCAGAGACCTACAACCTACTGGACTGTGCTGGGCCCTGGCCACTATCTACCGATCACTGCTTGATGCAATGCATCACCCTCAGGAGAAAGAGAGAGAAACCAGACTATCAGGCAGGACAGTTACCCCAGTTCCTCAGACAGGCACTGAGACAGGCACTGCAGCTATTCCAACCTCTGCACTGTGGCTACTCCAAGCTCTGCAACAGGCAGTGCAGCTGCTGAAAGCCAGGTAACAAGCACTGCAGCTGAACCAGAAAACTAGCCTGTGCAAGGATCAGGCACCCCTACACAGAAGAAGAAATACACAAAGAAATCAGTTTGCTTAATACAGGATGATGATGAACCAGGACCATCATGAGAACAGGATGAAGAGGCAGAACTGGAGATAATCATGCAGTCCCTATTCCTGAGTGAACTTTGGGATATGCAAAAGATTTGAGCCGCTATCCAGATGAGCACATTGTCACCTGGCTGCTCCGATGCTGGGATAACCAGCCTAGTAGCTTGGAACTAGAGGGTAGGGAAGCCAAGCGGCTGGGATCCCTGTCTAGGGAAGGGGGCATTGACAAGGCAATTGGGAAAAAAACACAAGCCCTCAGCCTCTGGAGCAACTCCTGTTAGGCATGAGGAAAAGGTATTCCTTCAGTGAAGACGTTGCATGTCATCCAAGCAAATGGACAACCATGACGAGAGGTATCCAGTACCTGAGGGAATTAGCCATGTAAGGGGTAGTTTATTATCACCTGGACAACACACAGTTACCCACAGACTGATGAAGTCCAATGCACGTGGCCCGTGTGGTGGAAGT